CCTATGGGTTTTCCCATTGTAATGAACTTTGAATCATCGAAAAATATCAATTTTTGACCTAGTTCTGAAACAATTTGTCCACCCGTTTACAAGCTAATCGGCATTGCTATAGAGATAAAGCCGGGTCTGAACGAGGGGACTTTTGATTGCGGTTATCTCGAAACCTGTCGAATTCCCGACAAAAATGATAGGAACCGTTTTTGTAGACAATGATAAGATCTTTCTTTTTTATCTTAACGAAAATTCTCTAATTTGCATATTGTGGAAGATATTGGCGGGAAACCAGTTTTAGGGTCCATTTTTGGCTCTTTCAGTAATTCCGACTCCGCAGAGTTGGCAAAAGTTTTCGACCTTGGAAGCGACCGTCGAGACCTAAGAGTTGAGTCACAACGGAAATCTTTACCGACTTAATGACAGGTTGGTCCCTTCAGTTACTGAACTATGTTTTGGACAGACCTAAAACCAATAGGAAGGACACACATTTTAGGAGAGCTGTATCAGTTAAGGGAAGGCTAGCTGTCACGATTTTTGGTGACTGGAGATTTGTATGCGAGTGTACAATATCTGTTTTGAATCTCAAAACAAGGCATTTCAGTAATTGTACCAGAAATCTGCAATGCACTTATTGTAGGTTGTGAGAATCACAAATTAATCATATTCATTTCACATAATTTTCAACATTCAATTGGGTGTTAATGTACACACATGCTAGTTAAGCAAACACTCTTTGTAGTTTGATAATATATGTAGGTTCATGCGAATATGAATATGAATAGTTAAGTAACAAAAAGGAAATTAAACTATTTATTATAAACAGAAAAATTTACAATTTTAAGAAAAGTTGCAAGCCGCTGAGGACTTCATCGTGGTGCTGTGGCTGTTGCTGAACCAATGTGGATGCAAAGTCATCATTATTAGAGAAATCTGAGTTGGTTGATCAAAGGGAATGTTAGAATAAGGGAATGGGGAAGGTGTAGAAGATGTAAAAGAATGGAGTTTCTGAATTCAGTGAATATATGATCGTAGAGCTCAATCTCGTCTCGAAAATAATAATTTGGTTTATGACGTGTTCAACAAGAACCCTCTTCCTAAAAACTTTTATTATTTTAGAGTGACTTTTATATGAGTAGTAGCTTCCACTGCGCTAGCTTGCTTCAAAGTTTTTTTATTTGATGGTTTTAGAAAGTTATCTTTTTCTTTTATAATTGGAGAGTTTTCTCTCTGCACGCTGTTATTATTAATACCATCAAGTTGGGTATTCTAAGAATTTTCACCAATATCTTCTTCAGAGCCAGCATGTTCAGCAGTGGATACTTGTGGTAATTTAAAATGGGTGTTCACTTTTTCCAATAATTTTTTCATATGTAAGTTCAATTCAAAACTTTGTACAAGAGTCAATATCGCTGTTTTTTTTATTATTTGAGTTTGTATTAAGTGTAGTCATTATTATCAACATCATACTGTTTTCAAGCACTACAACTATTAATAAATGAATATTTTAGTTAGTGTGATATTTGTTTTGTGTTTAGTACGTTGAAACCCATCTATACACATTATTAGTTAGTAAACTGACTTTTCTTCATAATGTGAGATTATTTTATTATATTATCAAGTTATATAGAAAGCTTGACATTGATTTTTGTGTAAAAATTGTTATATGAAACTTAACCTACTATATTTTAGATTTTATTGTAAATTTAATCATTTTCACAATTTGTCACAGATGTCAAATAAAAAATATATTTTTTAAATATCTTTTATTGGCAAATAAAATAAGAACTAAAATGTTTTAAATGTTTATTTTATAAGATCAGTCCCATCACAATACATAATATTACACAGACACAAACTAGAATAAAGATATATAATGCCTGGCATTTTAAATGATACTCTTCGTAGTTTAACAGACCCCCTCAACCCCCATTTTTAAGCAGATTGTTTTCACAATCAATAGGCCTCATCTCATTATAGACCTTGATTTTTACTAAAAATTTCATGTTGATATCGCTTTTAATTTAGGATTTTTTTTTTAATTTCAACCCATCTTTTGTTAAAAATCAAAAGGTCCCCTTATAGAGCTTAATTAATGCTTAAAATTTTCAAGTTCATATCATTTCTCGTTTTTGACTTATCGTGCAGATAAAAAACGTGACATCGGACAGACAGACAGACAAAGTAAACCTATAATACTCTTCACATAATACTGTATGAAGAGTAGAAAAAAATGTATAAGATAAAATAAACAAATTAAAAAATAATATTCAACTTTGTAACCCATTTTTTTCTTTTGACAAAGAGTTTAGGTCTCGGTTTAGGTTATATACAGCACAGCAGCTCTACCGTCGGTGGCATAAAGCTGTGAGTAAGGATTTGTTGTCTTGAAATTTAATTATTTTAAATTGACTTTAGATACACTTAAATAAAATACAAAAAAGAGTATTTAAACCATAGATGGACGCCACTGAATTTTTTATAGATTAAAAAATTTGGTATTATTTGATAAAGAAGTTTTTAAAATCTAAAGGTAAATTTAGAAACGATAATAAATAAAATTCAAATAATTAAACCATAAATACATGAATCTGCAAATAGACACTTGTAGAGATGATCATGATATTCTGTGAAATAAAAGTCATACCTAATTTAAATTGAATTTAATAGAAAAATAAATGAAAGTGATATATTAACAATATTTTCTCAATTTGTTCGATGAGCATTAAATTATACAAACGTTTTTTGCTCAAAAGAGAAATAATGATATATTAACAATATTTACCCAATTCATTTGATGAATCAAACTCTAAAAGTAATAAAATTGCAAGTATTTTCTCAATCCACTTATCAACATTTAAATTTATAAACGGTAGAAACAATATAATAGAAAATACTCAATTCATTTTTAAACAGTTAAATTTATAGTCAATAGAAATGGTGTAATTGAGAATATTCTCTCAATTCATTCGCCAATAGTTGGAGAAACATATGAATAATAAAATAAGGTTTATTTATACCTATCCGAGACGTCTTGTTAAAATTAAGGTATATTGTTTTGAGTACTCAAAATAATATTTACAAACTGGTTGTAAATAAAAGAAACAAAAAGTATTCTTAAAACTAAATCATACAGAAAATAAAATTAAAGAAAAAATAATAAATACCAAAATATAATCCTAGGTCTAACAGCGGCACTAGAAAGAGCCCTCTGTTAGGCTACACACTGCACACCGAAACTCATCATGTTACAGGACTACTTGGGGCACGGGACCATCGTAAGAACGTTTGAAATAAAAAGAAAATCTCTGCTACGCAGGGTAAATAAAACGGACCAGCATATTGGCAAGACAGAATTCCATTCTGTAGCTTTCTGAGAATAACCACCCACGGTTAATGTGGCTCTCTTGTTCATTCACGGGAAGAACCCTATATATATTAAAATATGAGTGATTTGCCAGTCAAAGAAAATGCAGGAGCAGCAAAGAAAATGACTTACCGCTTTTGAGGGTATTCTCTGCTACCGGGATCCAGCCCTTGGACAAAACAAAAAGCTCAAAAACTAATTATTACTCAACACTATTTAACACAATGCGTAGCTAAATCCCAACGGCTCTTCTTTCAAAAATCAAATCGGAAAGGGCCAAAAACACAAGTTGTTTTTTTTTTAAGTGACAGTTCGATTATAGAACTGACAAATTCCTAACCAAAAATGTTGCCAACCTATTAAGACCAAAAAAAACTAGTGTTCAGCTAGTTTCTCGTATTTCATATTTATGGTCAAATATAATTAAAGAAAAATAATTATTATGCAAAATAAAAGAAATGGAATGATAAAATATTGAAATATAACGCTTACTCTATTCCCATGATTATTTACAAAATTATGCTGTGTTTGTAGACAGATCAAACGAACGTTTGAATTGTAATAGACTGGCAACACTGGTTTGGCAACCTTGTTTGTAAGCGGCGCGCCAATGAATGTGTTCTTTGTCAGTTTGAAGGATCTGTTGGCGTGTTGTCTTCTCTTTTTAGCTATATGCATTCGGCATATCGTCTCACTCGTGTTAGGCTCACTCATCATAATGCGCCACAGACACAGTATACTTAGGAATACTGTGACACAGAGACGCGATCAGCCAGATGACAATGATGCACAAAAAAATATAGATTAACACGTATGAAAATAAAAATATTAAAATAAAGTTTATATTTTTATGTTATTTATGTAATATTAAAATAATGTGATTTTATGAAATTTAACTGGGTGTTCACTGCACAAATGAACCAATCGAAAAACCGCCCCTGATGTTGAGCCAGATGTTTGTGTTGTCTGTCGGATTGGAAACATTATTTTCGCCCTGAAAAAATAATAGATTTTGTTAGTATCCAGAATATAGTATGTAATATAGTAACGTATGTCCCTAAAGTTTTCGGAAAAAAATCGATTATTATTTATTTATCGCAGACAGCCTAGGATCAAGTTGCCATTGGAAACAAAGTTAGTAAACAACTCAAAGTATGTTGCTAAATGTCAGTTTTGACTAATTGTTTGTCAAGATGTCGTATAAGCTTAATATTCGTCAAAGTATTTATCATTTAGTTGGACAAGTACCTAAGCGCGATATTGTTAGAATTTTCAGCGCCCAAAATATTTCTACTTCCACAATTTACCAGACTATTGAAGACTGTGAAAATGGCATACCATGCATTAATTTGACAAAAAGTGGGAGGCCAAAAGTTTTAAGTCGTGCACGAGAACGGAGATTGGTTGAAAGTGTAGAAGACAACTTAGGAAAGTCATTGCGCAAAGTTGGCCGAAGATACAATGTTTGCCAGATGTAAGTAGAAATAATTTAAAATATTATAAAAGAAGAAAGGCTCCTAAATACACAGTAGCTCAGTTGGAAAAAATTCCCAGATGTTGCCGTGCCTTGAGACGTATTCATTTTCCCGGTAAAATTATCATTATGGATGATGAAAAATATTTTACTTTATCAAATTCCGAAATGAGAGGTAACGATGGATTTTATACACGTAATGCGGAAGAAGCTCCTGATCATGTTAGATTTAAAGGCAAGATTAAATTTGCCGACAAAATTTTAGTGTGGTGTGCCATTTCAGAAGCTGGTGTTTCACAGCTACATGTTGGACGTGTTCGCGGTGAAGCTATCAATGCGGAGATTTACATTGAGAGATGTCTTTCAAAACTTCGTAACTTTATACATACTCATCATCCCAATGATGAAGTGATATTTTGGCCCGATCTAGCATCGTGCCATTACGCCAGGAGAACGACAGACTGGTTAGCTGCTCAAAATATAAATTTTGTTTCTAAGCGCGACAACCCTCCAAATGTGCCTCAGGCGAGGCCTATAGAAGAGTTTTGGGCCCTTTTAAGTCGAAAAGTATATGATAATGGATGGGAAGCCCAAAATGAGGAGCAGTTAAGACGAAGAATACTGCAAAAAATTCGTGAGATCGATTTAGCAACGGTCCAAAGGCTTATGGCCCATGTAAGGCCAAAACTACGTGCCATCGAAGAACATGGACCCATGTATGTTCTATAAAAATATCAAATAACGTTTAGAGTTCTAGAAATACTTTCCCATTGTTAATTTTTAAATAAATTTATTTCCCAACCAAAAAAATAAATGTTTTATTTTTGCCGAAAACTTTAGGGACATACGTTAGTAGTAGTGCTAACGACTATTATAACTATAAAGGATTTTTTATTGTATCGTTTTGTTTGCTGTAGTTGATAGTAATTATCATATTATTTTTGCTGATGTCGGTCGTCAGGGAAGACTTTCTGATGGTGTTATTATTTTACTTATCTTAATATTATCATATTACTACAAGATAATTTTTTTGTTAGTGAGTGATTTTTGTTGTAAAATACTGTCAACTTTGTGTGTTTAGAAATTTAAAACCAAAAACTTTTCAAAATAAAATTCAATTGATTTGTATCTAAAAAAGCTTCTTTGATTATTATAATAATAAATCAAACCCCGATACAATCTGGTAGATATTTGAGATATTAAGGATAATCATCGGAATTCCCACGTATTGCGTGCCATGTCCTTCTTCGTTTATCCCCCGCCGGAGGATTACAAAACATTTAATTGCGTTTAATGTCGAGGATAGTCGAGCAGTAATTAATAATTAAATTGGAGGCTGTGGCTGTCTTCTTCAGAGCGTCTTCCCTTGCCGTACGTCTCGACCTGGTGAATTATGGGCCGTTCTCGTTACCGCGGGCCATCCACCTCCGAAACGAATATATATAACCTCGGCCCATGCCCATTGCCCATCGTTCCGTTCTCGTCCATGTTGAACGAGAAGAGGATGTGAGAATTTTTATCGTGTCAGGGATTACGTCAGGAATTATGCGTTTGTACTTACTTGGGCCTTTGGTATATTAGATCTGATAGATTACAGAAATCAACTTGAATTTTTATTTATTTAACGGGAAAACTCTTTATCATAAAATAACAGAGTATTAGGTACTTAGCCTAGACAGATATAAAATATAATATCACAATATCACATAAAATATAGAAATTAAGAAAAAATCACCGATAAATTTGTTTGGATGTTGGGGTTTTAAAAAATATTTTGTTTTATATTTTATTTTAAAACATTCGGCAAAAATTCAACGAATATTTTGTTCTTTGATGATTTTTAATATTCCGTTTCGTTTAGGAGATACATGACTCACAACATTTTCGAGAAAACTATTTTTATTATTTTTAAAATGATTAATGGTCTAAATAAAAATAGGTACTATACTGTGTTAACCAAGAACATACAACTTTTTTTAAAATTCGTTATTTTTATTATTTCATTTCAATTACTAAAAACGGCTATTTTTTTCCACTTAAAACCGGCAAAAGTTCAGACATCGTAAAGAAATACATATTAAATCTGAATTTCATTTGAATTCGTCTAGTGATTGATCATTTGGTATTTGGTAGTTATAATTTTGTTACTGACTTTATCATGAATCACTATACAAAAGCCGAGATGACTAAGATGCATTACATTTATGGTCTTGCTGATGGAAATTCATTAGAAGCTAGGAGGTTGTACATTGGACGATTTCCTGACCGTAATATTCCTGATTATTCCAAAATATTCATCAACGTCTTCATGCCACAGGCGCATTGACACGAAGTAGAGGGCCAGGAAGGCCAAATACAGCAAGAACGGTGGAAGTGGAAGAAAATGTACTGAACATGATTGAGGAAGATCCGAGTACTTCTACTCGAAAAATTGCAAATACTTTGAATATGAGTTATTCGACTGCTTGGAAAATTCTTAGGGACTATTTGTTATACCCATATCACATATAACGCGTTCAGGCACTTCTTCCTGCTAATTTTCCTCCACGTATTACATTTTGTCAATGGTTTTGCACACATTAGTTCAAATTCCTCAACTACTGACGCTTATTCTTTTTACCTATGAAGGGAATTTCCAACCATGTATAGGCTGACGAAAATCCACATGAGGTAATTGAAGATCGTTTTCAATATCAGTTCTCGGATAATTGCTGGGTGTAACTCAATAAGAAACGACCCTGGTGTTTTTAAAAGAGTTCGGCAGTTAATAAAGAGAAGATTGGATGCTTGCATTCTTGTTGGAGGTAGTCATTTTCAACAGTTCTTGTAGAATAAGTAACATTTACATGTATTTTTTGGTAATAATATGATGTTATTGTCTAAAATTTTGTTTGCCCTGTATCTCCTTAACAAAACGAGATCTCAAAATTCATCAAAGTACAAAATATTCAAAATAGTCCAAGGAATAACCCCTTGAATTTTTACCGCATGTTCAAAAAACACCCTGCATATAACTATAAGGACAGTGACTTAAAAAATGGTGATGAGAACAGAAAATATTCCCTGAAATCATTTAATAATTATTATTAAATTATCTCAGGGAATATTTTACTGAGGTATATACTTGTGCCGACGAAAACAATTTTCTTACCCTCAATATTTACACATTTCTCCACGTTTCCTATCAATCTAAGTCCGAAAATTTAATATATATCATCTGGTCCTCTGTACGTTTACATTTATATGTAGGCATGATAACTAAGAACGAAAGTTTAGTTCGACTTTTATTTTCTTTGATAATTTCTTCTAACTTAGAACCCTATTGATTTTCAGACTTTTCTATTCAAACTAACTACGTTAAATATTGATGTTTCTAAAATCCGATGTATTTCTGATGAGGCTTATTTTATTCACTTCAACTTAGTTAAATTAGACTATATGGATGGCTGTGTCTCTCAACTGTGAAACAACAGATATGTTTTTCTATATTAAGGTAAGTACAAACCAGGCAACAAAATTTTGCCCACTGTTGGCAACATGTTGACGGATGTTGGCAACATATTTGTTGAATATAACAACTTGTATCCAGATACATGTGGTCAACAGTGTTGTTCTTCAAAACCACAACCAGTTGCGCGTCCAAATTAAAAGCAGTATTTACAAGTGGCATTTAAAAATGGATTTATCTACTGCTGCTGGTGTTAGTGCTGCTTTCATCATAATTGCTTTCCAGTCCAGAAACGGAAAATAAGATATTGGCAGCGACAGTTTTTACAAAATGGGACAAGCTATGGTGGTAACTTAATGATGGGGTTACTTTTAAATGATGGTAGTTCGTTTCGCAATTTAGCAATTTCAAAGAACTTCTCTGGTATTGAAAAAGAATATGAACTACCGTGCTGCGATTCCATCATCAATCAGATTGATGGTTGCTTCTCGATATATCGCTACAGGAGAGGTTTACGAGTTCAATGTAAGTTTTTAAAAAAATATCGAAACAATGAATCTCCTCAATTGTACCCGAAGTATGTGAAGCCATCACTGAAGTGCTCAAAAGATATTGTCAGGCAAGGAAAAAGTAAACAAGGAAATTATTTATTCTATTTATTCTATTGAGAGTATCCAGCTAGTGCCTCACTACAATATTAATAAAAATTTTACTGACGAACAAGGAACGGCCTTAAAGGAATATTTCCAACACTTTGCCTTACTGTTTTATGGACTGTCGACAACTGAATGCCGACGTGGATCATATGAGATGGCTAAAATCAATAATGTAAACATGCCAAATTAATGGCAAACAAATAAATTGGCAGGGGTAGATTGGCTTAAATCTTTTTGTAAGAGACAGCAGGATCTATCTCTACGAAAGCCAGAATCATGTAGCCTGGCAAGAGCTACGGCCTTCAACAACAACAACACTTTAGAAAAAGTTATGAAGAAAAACCCAGTTTTTGCAGATGGAACTAGAATTTTTAATCTGGATGAAACTTCTACTACCACGGTGCAAAGATCTCAAAAATTTTAGGACCGACAGGTCGTAAAAATTTGGAGAGAGTAATGAGTGGAGAAAAGGGATGCTGTATTGTTAGTGCTGTCGGCCAAGCTATGCCGCCAGTAATGGTGTTTTCTCGTAAAAATTTTAAATTGCACATGATCAACATTAGGAACACTGTTTGTTAATGTCATGGACCAATTTATTAAACAATCACACGGTACGCCGGAAAATCCTAGTATTTTAATTATGGACAACCACCAGTCGCTCCTATCGTTAGAGGCATTGATCGAGCAAAGTCTTCAGGAGTGAATGTGGTAACACTTCATCCCCATACATAAAACAAACTAAAGCCTCTAGACTTTGAAGTATTCTCTCTCTTCAAATCATTCTACAATAGTGCCATTGATTCGTGGTTGTTGCATCATCCGGGACAACCAATTACCATTTTTGAAGTAGGAGAAATAGTGGGAACTGCTTTTTTAAAAATCCATGACACCAATAAATATTATTAACGCTTTCAAAAAAAAAACGGAATCTTTCCGTTTGACCGAGATATCTTCACGGAACAAGACTATTTACCAAGTTCAATGATCGACCGTCCTTGTGGTGAATGTGACAAAAGGCATAATTCTCCATCTCCTATTTTAGTCTCTTGTAATCCTGATATTAATAATCTTGACAATGAACATCCTGATAATGAAGAAAATTTTGACGAGCTAATAGCTTCCACAAGCACTTGCGCTGATTAGCGAATACATGAACCTGCGTCCAATCCCTCAGTCAGAACATTAGTTGCTTCAGATGATGGTAAACTTGTAACACCGATAAAAGCAGGACCTCGTAAGAATAAACGAAAGCCAAGGAAGGTTGGTCGTAGTCTTATTGCAACGGACACACCAAAAAAAAAAAATGAAATCAAAGCTGAAAAATTGGCGGCAACAGCAAGGGCAAATAAAAGAAAGACTCCAAAGAGGCCACATGTTAGAAAGGTTCTACAGGATTCGGAGTCAGAAGATGAAACTGAAATGGTATTTGAAGATAGCGACAACGATCAAGACTGGTGGGAAGAGGAAGATAATGAAAATGTGAGGCCTCTAACAAATGATATGTTACTAAAAAAGTCCTAGATAGGCAAC